AATCTATGCATTCATGTCCTCCAACTGTCCTGATTTGGCAGGAAAAGTCCCAAGTAATCTTCTGTCACCCCACTTTTTTAGATGCTTTTTAAATGTCTCAGTTTCTCTCTCCTCTTCTCATTTTCCTCCTTTGTTCACAGCTTACATCAGTTGCTGGAAACTGAGTTCAAAGTGCAAGAATAATTTGTACTTAGTTAACTCATCCAAAAGGAAAGGAGGAGGTGAAGTCTTGCCTTTCCCAGTAAGCTCAGGCAAAAGTAAAGTGCTGCAGCCTCTCCTGGCTTATGTGCTCTTTCTCCTTAATAATTTTTGTCATCTTGACCAAACTCTGGTATTGCTTGGCTACATGTGTCCTGGTTTTCATCTCAGATGTTAAGAGGATGAGTGTACTGGAGCCTTAGGAGCTGGTGTCTTTGTTGGTTTTTGGCAGGGCCAAAATTTCCAGGGCAAGGAAGAGCCACCCACTCAACAGGCTGCACAGATGGAGTTACATGTGTAGTTATTTGAATAAACAAGAACAAAGCAAACACACAGCTCATAGCCCTCAGCAGCATCCTAGCAGCATTATTGCTATCTCCAGAGACAATTAGCTGCCTTGCTGAAGGCCAGAATCAGACTCAGGCTTATCTGAAAGACATGAGACATCTGAAAACTCTCATATCAAAGGTGTTGGGAGAAGTCCTTTTTAGCAACACAGGGGAAAAGCCATGTGCATTGTGCCATCACTAATTTGAACAGGTCCCACACCATATTAACTGAGAACCACCACCACCACCACCACCACAGCAAAATGTATTTTCATCATATTTTTCTTTTTCCTGGATGATTTTTAACACCTTTGCCTGATGAGGAAAGCCAGTGGAGCTTTAAAAGTATTTTGTGCAGTTTGGTTGGGCCAAGAAAGGTATAATTGTTTTGTGGATTTTGGTTGTTATTGTACTTCCACTTGTTACATTACTTTTGAAGTGTTACTTTGTTGCCAAGAAAAATAATTAATGACAAGTAATGACTTTACTTGTAACTTGTTAGTCAATTTCTGTCCCAAACAACAAGCTTCACTGTTTGTAGAAAAGCTGCTTTGTGCACTAACTATAGCAGAGAGGCACCACTTCTGCTGTGCTGCAATGCCACAGTACCCAGTGCCTATATAACACCTGAAACCTCCCAGACACACATGCAAAAAGCAGGCATATTCCTGTTCATTTCTACTGTAAATTCACCAGGTACTGTATATACTCGTGTATGTCTATACATTTTAGTCAAAATATTGACCCCTAAAACCTGAGTCATTTAATCCATGGGTTAATGGAAATACTGTACTTTAACTCTCAGTTAAAAAGGTACTATCTCCTAGTTAAAGACAAGAATATAATATTTCCTAGAAGCACTGACACACACACACACACACACACACACACACACACTCATCCATCCAGCCTTTAGTATGAGCACAAATAGTTCTGCCTGCTGGAATTTTGTAAGTATTTTGGCATTGTTTTCCTTTGCTTCATTCTTTAGATCCTTTGTTACATGCCCCCAAATTTTACCCTTGTGTTGGATGACAGCTCCCATAATCCTTCCCATGGGCCCTACTGGCTGGGGTTTCTGGGAGTTCAAGTCCAAAGAAACTGGAAGGCAATAGTTTTACAGGGGGAGGAGCAAAGGGCACAACTCCCAAAGAACTGTTTAAAGAAGAAGGAAGAGTTGCAGGGACAGGTGCAAACTTCTCCTGAATTCCTACCTCCAGGAACTAGAGAATAGAGACAGTGTGTTGAGTACAGAGGGCAAGATAGGGGACAGCTCCCCCATGCCTTCTGCTGCTCTGCAGCAATCTTTGATTCTGCTTTGGCTGCAATTTGCATCCCTTACCAAAATGGCACCATTCCCCCTATATTTTTTCAAACTGAGTTGCATCATCTCTTTTGGACAAGAATCACTGCCCAGCAAGGCACATATTTTTGTTTCTCTGCCTCATTTAAAACTTGAGAAGACTCACAGGTTTTTCTTGACCCGAAAAAGACCATGCTGACGAATTCTAAGAGCTTCCAATCTTTAAACCACAATCTTAAGTGAATGTCACAATCTGGGAATGAGAAGGGGAAGGGTTTACCAGATTCTACCAGCTTGATGAATGGCTATTGTGACAGGTTGCCGCAAGCCTTGGCTCTGATGTGAACTAGTCAGGACACAGGCCCTCATGCAGAAGGAACATCATGCTGCCTTCTCCATGGGACTTGCTTGTGCCTTATGAATGCCTCCAGCCACCCACATGGGTGGCCAGTTAAAATGGAACCAAAATTTGGTTTACTCTTAATTTTAAATGCTAATTGCCATCTCTGCATTTGGAGCATTTCAAATGTTGCAAACTCATTGGCCAGCATTAAAGAATTGGGGGGGGGGGGGTGAGCTACATTTCAGAGGAGTGCAGGGGCACTGGAGAGTAGGTCTTACTCTCTGCCCTGACTAATCATCCTTTAAAATTAATTATTGTTGTTGTGTGACTACAAGTCATTTCTGACTTATGGCGACCCTAAAGTGAGCCTATCACAAGGTATTCTTGGCAGGATTTATTTAGAGGGGGCTTGCCTTGCTCTCCTCCTAAGCCGAGAGACTGTGGCTTGCCAAGGTCATCCGGTGGATTTTCATGGATGAGCACTACATCACGTAACCTCTCTTGGAATGATTATATGGGGTGGAGTGGAGTGGGCAAAATGAGGTCAGTGCCCTTCCACATGAGATAGGGTATTTAATCCTCCAGCCCTACTCTAGGTAGATATAAATCACTTTATATAGACTATCAAAGTATCTGAAGAGAGGAAAATATGCAAGTCACACTGATGGAGAAATACCAGGAAGAGGAATATGCTGCTTTAGAAGTTTGAACACAAAACAAGGGTCCATAGAATCATAGAGTTGGAAGAGACCACATGGGGCATCCAGTCCAACCCCCTGCCATGCAGGAAGACAGAATCAAAGCACCAACAACAGATGGCCATCCAGCCTCCGTTTAAAGACCTCCAAAGAAGGAGACTCCACCACTCCCCGTGATGTGGCCCTCCAGATGTTGCTTAACTATATCCTATCAGCCCCTATGCAGCCTAGCCAATGATTAAGCATGACAAGCATTGCAAGCAAAGAACAACTGAAAGGCCACACATGGCCACTCCAGTTCTAAACAATTTATTTTGTAAAACAATATAAATGTTATATTCAGACACAGCACAAGGATAATCTAAGAGGTGCCTCAATACTTGCTGAATCACATTCCACACAGCACTCCAGATTGCAAGGCTGCCTTGAAGTACTAATAAAGAACTATGCATTTATGCCTCACTTATCTACTGACCATCTGGAGAGGACCCTGGGTGATCTCAAAACTGGCTTAAAATTGATCTGAGATAGTGAACGGATGCATCTTTCTATCTTAAAAGAGAGGACCTAGGATTGTTTCAGGAGACTGGCAAAGCAACAAGCTGTTATTGATTAGGAAGGGCATAGCTGTAGAACTGGTATGCATGTCTCCCATCTGGTATCCATGGGAGACAAGCGTTTGCCCTGGAGGGACTCAGCTGCCTGCCCTTCACCCATCACAGCACAAACTCAAAGCAGAGGAATTACTCTCCAGCAGTAGAACAGCATGTCTCTCCCCACCTTTCCTTTCTCTCCACACAAGCTAAGTCAGCATTTCAGAAAAGTCATGGAAATGCTGAATTGCCACAAGTGCATTTTTTAGGCCTAACCTGTGGTACATGGATGAATAAATGCTGCCAGATGGAGCTTGGAAGTGAGAAAAACAGAGTCCATGCAAGCACATTAGCAAGCAGGGAATACACAGAGGGACAGTGGAGGGGTACCCCAATAAGAATGCCTTTCATTTGCTCCCCAGCTACTGAAACTTACTATTAGATGAACTGGCCCAAATGTTTCTTTTTTTAAAAAAAAACTGAGCATGTAACATCTGAGGATGTTTCTATTACCAAAGTGCATGGGTGAATTCATATCCAGATATATACCTCTCTTGGGACCTTATCACATGGGGTCTAAAGCAGTCGCGTCCCTGTCCCATTGCGCTTCCTTAATACAGAAAGCAGCATCATCCCAGTATCATTCCGGTCACGGGAAATGTAATTCCCATTTAGACCAGGAATTCAAAAGAACGTGGATGATGCCGGATAATGCAGCATGATGCCGCATTGGGACGGGGATGCGACGGGGATGGGCGGAGTTTCTCTGTGACGTCGTGTGATCGCACAGGGAAAGGAAGCGCGATGGGACGGGGATGCGACTGCTTTAGACCCCCGTGTGATAAGGTCCTTGGTTGTGAATGTTCTCCTTTAAAAAAGGGGGGGAGGGGAAGTGTACTACACTTCTTTTTTTAAAACTTTTCTTGCAATTTACATTCGTTATTATAAATGGTCTCTTGTTCCTGAGACATATAACCTCTAGACTACATAACACCAATTCAGTTGCTTCAGTTCTATAAATGGGAGTGGTTAGGCAAGTGAATAATCCTGTGTGGTGACCCTGTGGTTGTGTCACTGTCTCACATTGGGTGTTCCTTACCCACACAATTGTCATGACATCCACACTGTCATGACATCCACATGCTTTACAAGTCTGACATAATCCTTATTTAGGATAAAAATGTGCTTTCTCCCCTTTAAATGCTTATTTTTCTGACTCCTAGGTTTATGAAGCTTTGTACAATACAGTTCAACACGTTTGCTCAGAAATAACCCTCATTGACTTCACTAGGATTCATTCTGAGGTAACTGCTTATAGAAATGCAATTTCCATCTTAATTTTGGAGGGAGCAAGATTTGAGGTGGCTAAGGGATGTTTAGCTGCCTGGTGGTGAGCTGCACAAAGAATTCTACTTTGGGTCTCATTTTTAATGCATCTCAGTTTTCTTGGCAACATTTGTTCAGAGGTGGTTTGCCATTGTCTTCCCCTGAGGTTGAGAGCATGTGACCTGTCCAAGGTCACCCAGTGGGTTTCATGGCCAAGCTGGGAATCAAACCCTGGTCTCTAGAGTTGTAATCCAACACTCATACCACTACACCACGCTGGCTGAGAGATAATCCCCATTCACTTCAGTGGAACTAACTATATCCTGCACTCAGAAGATACCTCTTCTGCCCCCTCTCCTTACTGGAAAGATAGAGAAAGGGGGGAAATGAGAGGGATCAAAACATGCTGGTTTTGGCACAAAACAGAAAAAAAATGTAATCACAACAGTGGATCTCTCCTTTAAGAAACAATGAAAAGGGTTGGCAGAATGACCAATCAAATGAGGGGTAATGATGGAAAGTATCAGGAGATGCTGTTGTTGCTGCTACTGCTAGGTAAAGATAGTTCCTGCAGGCTTTGCATGTACATGTCTACCAAAACATGTGGCCTACAGTACTAGTAGGGAAATGAAAGGAGGCCAGTCTTTACTAATGGAACAAAATAACATAAAGATGGGAAGGGAGCAAAAAGCAGCAAGAGACTCTTGAATGGCAAAACATGCACCTCAAAAAAGGACTGCCATTGAAACTAAGGGGGATGCAGATGGGTGGCCATAGGCCACCCTGGAAAGCGGAGGATTCTGGCCAAGGCTGCCCCACACCTCGGCCCAATCCTCCCTTTTGCCAGCCCTGGAAGGAGCGCTAAAATGAAGGTAGGGAAGATTATCAATGACTGGGTGTGTGTTTGCATCACATGAATTGCACATTTAATTCTGGAATCTCCAGTATAATTTCAGATACAGGCAACATGAGAGAGTCAGCGTGATGTAGTGGTGTGAGACTATAAAGATTATCATGCTCAGTTATAAACTGGCTTACCTGAGTCAGCTTAAAATTAGAAGCAGGTGGCATCTTGATATTATGAGATGCATTTAGCCACCGCAATCGCCTGACTGCAGCCTGGCTCCATTGCCATTCAAAGGGGCACTGTGGTGGCCATTTTTTTTCAACAGGAAAACTCTTGACTTTGAAAAGAGGTGCAAGGAGTGCCCCTTGGAGCAGCAATGGATCTGGGCTGCAGCCGGACAGCGATTTTGGCAGCTAAATGTGTCTAATACTATCAGGATGCTGCCCGCTTCTAATTTTAAGCCAGCTCAGGTAAGCCAGTTTATAATTGAGTGCAATAGTCTCCTATGACTCTGGAGACCAGGGTCTGATTCACTGCTTGGCCATGAAAATCTACTGGATGACTTTGGGCAACTCATTCTCTCACAGCCTCAGAGAATGGCAATGGGAAGTCCCTCTAGTAAAACTCATTGATTTGTGTGATGTGATTGTAAATGCAGCAGAGTTCAGAAGCCTATTTCCTTTCACCAGCCATCCTGGAAATGCTGTTTCCCTGGAGACACATTTGTAAATCCAAAGTAAAGCTTTATTGTTGCATAATAAAAACAGAAAAGAAATCTATACAATCCATTTTGCCAATGGCAAAGACCATAGGATCACATCTTGTTGGTGTTGTTCTAGTTGTGTTGAAAAGACATATAGCAAGTATTTAACAAAGGTGAACAAAGGAACCCTTTGGCCCATCCCATACTCCACCTCCTGGGTGTTAACCTATATGATGATTGGATGATCAGCTGTATCCCAGCCTCTAGTCCAGCCTCTAGCTGTGTGTCATTCCCCATGTGACCTGGTTCTCATGAGAAACAAATTAGCTCATGTGTTTACCTTTCAGCATCCTGTTCCCAGGCCCAAAGAGTTTTTGTTATTCTGTACAGTGTGAAATTGTTTTGGCTTTAAATCACCTGCTGACCGAGTCTTCTTTGTTTTCTTAGACACTTTTCCCATAAGAGATTTTTCATACACACACACATCTCTACATTTCACTTTGACTGTATATCCCATCCATATTCCAACAAAACTTGCCAAGAAAACTGTATGATAGGTTCGCTTCAGGGTTGCCATAAGTTGGAAATGATTTGAAGACAGACAACACACACACAATAACATGAGATTCATTCAATGCAAATCTGCCCTGTGTCTGTTTACAAATCCCATACTTGCAGTGATTTGAGTGTGTGTGTGCACATCCCACCTCAACTACTAAAGTGTGATACCTCAACTACATTTAATTTGCTGGCTACTGTCACAATACTCAGATACTCAGAAAAAAGAAAAATCTGGCTATGGCCATGTGTGACAGAGAAAGCGTGACAGAGAAAGATCTGAAAAAGAGGTTGCGTGTGAGAACAAATCAATAAATATAAGTTAAATAGCACTATTTTTATGGTCTTTGAAAATAAAATGGATTTCAACCATGCTTTTTGAGCACTAAACATTTATGTTGGTTGCTTTTAATCTTGTTTTTTAATCCCTTTCCTCTGCATCTATCAGGAAGAGATTCCAATTTTTTGCAATGGAACCCACAGTTTATAACTCCAGCATCATATGGCACATGGTTCCAGGTTTCCACAAACCTACAAAATGGAAACAACCAAGATGAAAATGCACAAGTTGACAGTGGAAGGCACTGTCTCTTGCATAGCCCTGACTGCAGCCAACTCTTCCTCCTTAAAAGCAGAAGAAACAGGGTGTAACCACACTTTCTTTTCCACCTGGTGGGCCTTTTTGTCAGCAGGGCATGCCTATGCTGGCTAGGATGGCATGGGAAGAAAGGAGCCAAACAGGCTGAAAAGCTGTACCCTCAGGAGCAACCTTTGCCCAAGCATGCATGGCATAATCAGCAAGCCTGGCACACTGTACCACCACTCAACAGACAAAATGGAAAATTTAAAAGTACAGTTGCCTTGAAAATCTGCTGTGGTCCTGGGCCTGTTCTCCATCCTTCCTACAAGCAGCAAGACTGGATGAATTATGACATCCTGGTGTGTCTGTGTGTGCACACGCATGCTCATATTTCAATCCGATATCTGCCATTTTGTAGCTTCTAGCGCCTCATCTCCACAGTATGAGAGCTGGGAAACAGATAAATGGACTTCAATTCCTCATAATGGTGGGGAATGTGGCTAGAACAAATATTCAAATTATCAATGAAAAATCATGCATATTTTTTGTGCAGAAAATGTCATTTTCTGTGTAGGAATGCTTTTTTTCTGTCTATAAATTCATGTTTTCTGTGCAGTTTTTAAGAACTTTCTCGCAGAAGGGAGAAAAATGATTAAATTATTCATTCTTGCTTGTGAGAATGAAATTTTAAAAGATTTACATCCCAGGGGGAGGACAAATTATTTTTCTACCAGCCATGGTGGCTTCCAAAGATTAACAACCACATGGTTGCTCGAGAAAGAGCCACAGTGCACTTCCCCTTTGTGAGTTTGCATTTGGCAGGATCCTGTGTATTCTACAATTCTGCATTCACAGCAGTTTCCATAGAATTTGGCAGATGCTGCAGAAGATACTAGAGGCTGCACAATGTCAAACACGAGGACATAAGAGAACCGTAGCCAGTTGGGAGGACAGAGGCAAATGGTAATACACAGAAGTTCTTTTCAGCCACAGCTTTTGGAAAGGTTTGCTGTGATGACCTCTCTGCAATACCCTTCATTTCCTCTCATCATAATATTTAGTTAGTTAGTTAGTTAGTTTTTAATGGATTTTATTAATAGCTTTGTAAACAATATAACACAAAATACATTCTATAAGGCTTGGGGGTCAACAAAAAGAGTTTTACAAGAAGATGATTTATCCTGGGATAGCAGTAACACTTGGAGTTGATGGTGTCATCTCACTCTGTGGTAGCTTGTGGAACCAAGTCCAGAGATAGTTTGATGAGTTAGAAGTGCAATATTGTTCATGTTGCTATTAATATATTCAATAAAAACAGACCAATCCTCAAAAAATGTGTGTCTTCTTTTGTCTGTTGCAAAACCTGAAGATGTAGGAAAGTTTTTCTGACAACCATATGTGTCCCAAATCCTCTTCCACCAGTTGCTTAGTTGAACATCTCCTGTTTTCTAATATCTCCCAATTTCAGTTCTGGCCACTGAGATGAGGAATATGACAAGTTTTCAGGTGGCTATTGTCCTTGTTGTAAATTGATAGCATTAGAAGACCTGGGCAAAATCATACAAGTTGTTTCACAATATCATAAATTTGGGTTAAAACAGCATTCCAGAAAGCTCTAACCTTAGAACAATCTAGCCATATGTGTAAATAGGAACCAAGAGTCTTACAACCTCTCCAGCATTTTGGGGAGGCATCTTTTGCCATTTTTGATCATCTTATGGGTGTTAAATACCATCTATGTATGGCCTTTAAGGTTCCCTCCCCTATCAATGCTGACCGTGATTTATAATGGGGGGAGGGAGTCCAAATGTGTGACCAGGTGGTTTCAGAGATATCCATGTTTAGATCAGATTGCCTGATTACCCTGGCAGGCTGACTCTTGCCTTAGGTGGACTGTATTAGATTTTTTATAAAATGGCTGCCCCACTTTTAGATCTTTGTCCTTTTGCTATGCAAATGTGTTTGTAAAAGGTCAAGGGATGGGGGCAACTGTCTTTTATCAATTTGCTTTTTGCAAAGGAGAGCACTTGCAGTATTTGGAACCAGGAGGATTTGGTGTGTCCCAAGACACTGAGCAAATTATCTGTCATTTTGAGTTTTCCATGTTCAAATAAATCCATAATTATGAATAGGCATACTCCTTCCAATATTTGAATTGAGCTCATTTATCTACTTCATTAAAATGAGGGTGTAATAAGAATGGGCAAATTGGGGAAGGATACGGAGCTAGTATGTGAACCCATTGCTTCCGAATAAGGAGGGAGTTGTAGAGAAAGTTGTAGTGGTTTCAAATCTCCTTCAACACCTTCCATGTCCTTATAGAGAAAAGAAGACTAAGGGCCAATGCCAAGAGGGCGCCCTGATGCCACACAGCGTGCAGTCAGGCACATGGCATTGAGGTGGCCAGCATGCAGTTGCCCTGCCCTAACTCCACCCCCAGGCCAGCCTAAAGTGCTGGTCTGCATCCCCCCTTGGTTCAGTTAAACTATAACTATCTAGTTCCATGGGTACCCATTTGGTGGAATTTTGCTTCATGAGAAGTTGGAAGAGTTGGTTTAGTTGGAAGGCATGAAAATAGAATTTGACATCTGGG